TATGTCTATCTCGTGACGATACGCATTTGTCAATTGGCTGACGATTGCTCGACAAACATCAGTAAGATTAAACGTGGCGGTCCTGTCCACTCACCACAAGAATCAGACGCAAATCGCGCGAATTACCATTGAAGCTCGAATCCACGCGTCAACAAATGGGCGTTAGTTACGTTTGCTAATATTGGCGTAGCGTTAATACTCCAAACCGTGATCTATTATTCCATTAAACAAGATTTCACTCAGGGGAGCGTTTAGAAGCGTGCACAATAATTTCTGGCTTGTTCAGTTGCGAGGCACTCTCGCCGCATAAAAGCCCACGAACTTTTCCACGGTGTGCGACCTCCAGTGAATACCTACTGACGCTACCAGGTTAGTTCTCGTAAAACTTTTTCTGAAGCTCGAGTTTAAATTGAAAGTGAGCTCTAAGCGCAAGTAAAATCGTCCTTCACGTCGGATGAATTTCCCAAGTGGGCGCAAAGATAATTCCAAAAATAAGCGTGTCAACGATCCGTGCCGACATTAAATAGGATTTTGGTTGCGAAAATCTAGGACTGGAGACGTTAAAGCCAGTTGGAATTCGAAACGTCGAAACTTTCGGCCGCATAGCTCACCGGAACAGCAACATTCAGCTTTCGTGTTCTCCGGAGAATTTAATTGTGTGGAATAACAATTTATTCGTTTATCGTGCCGAGCGAAATCTATCGGAAAAAAAAGAAATAGCAGAATATTTTAACTTTTATTCCAGAGAACGGAAAGCAAATTTCCGTTCGCTAAATGGAACTTGTCCGGCATTTGTAATGCACGCAATGCGATTATCTGGATAAATAGTAGTTTCATTGCAATTACGGCTTTTATTAAAAACGCATATTGAGTAAAACGGGATTTTAATGTACATTAGTTTTTTCCAACAACAGCAAATTCTAAAATCTAAAAATTTTGAAAAATTTTTGAAAAATTGCGAATGTTATATAAAATAGAATAAAATTTTATATACAATCGCACATTTCTAATTTTTTCTATAATTAAACCAGCATACTCTATTAATTAGTAAAGAATTTCATGGCTTTATTAAATGCACAATCTGTCTGACTAAAAAGGTACATGTTCATGCATTTCATGAATTTTTAATATTTATGGTTAAGATTTAATATTTATGTAATAATGTCCAATGTTAAATTAAATATATTAAAAATTAAACGTACAATATAATATTCAATTAAATGTACAATCTGCCCAGCTAACCGACATATTTTTGACGTAATTAATAAATATTTAATAAATATGGGTTTCAAGATTATTAATATTTAATGTTAATGTCATGTATTTACTTTGTTACGTAGACTTGTTCCGTATTGCATTTCTTAGCTAATTTAATATTAATTTCTTTTTTATTTTGCTCTCTAGAATTTATGCCAAAATAATTTAAATATTGTGAATTCTTAACATGAATAAAATAATTGTTAAATCGTCAAACATGTAACATTTGTAAAATGCAGTAATTGTTAAATAGCATAGTCAGATAAATGCATATTTGTAAGAATTGAGTTTTGTTATCAGTTCTATCATTATACAATAATATAACACTCTTAGACAGATAAACGAAAAAAATAAAGAATGTTTTCCATTAACGCAGTCAGCAATTTGAAATTTATTTAATTCATTGGATTTAATACAAATAATAATTGTGCTATCGAAGTTGTTGCTGATTACCTACTTCAAAATCGAAATTTTAGTGAGTCTATTTAAAGTTTTTTGTAAAACTGATTTAAACAACATCTGATATTTATATTTTTAAATAAAAAGCATGAAATTGCACGGGTAAATATTAAATATAAACATATATATTTTAGGTAAAAATATAAATAGTGCGAAAAAGATATATACAAATGTCGTTTAAAGGTTGCGTAATTTATATTTTTATTTTTGTATGAAATTTTTTTTGTATAAAATTTAATTTTTACTTTATCGCGTCGTACAAACCATGGAATACATATAAATATTTTACATCATATACATATAAATATTTTATTCGTACTCTGCTATCATTCGTCACGCGATCAACAGTACCCCTCATGTCATGTTCGAACATTAATTATAACTCGTTTAGATTACATCTAGGAAACAGCATAAGTAATATGTGTCGATATACATAATTCTTTTGCGTTCACTTCGTCGGGTTATCTCACCATGACTTCGCATCAACCGTGAGGTTTTGTCGGAGTAATTCCATATATGTTTCTCTTTTCATGTTGCCATATGGTACTTGGTACAGTCGAGACTTCAACAATCCAATTAACTGAAGAATCAGTCGGGTTAACGATCATATGAAAGAAATACGTTTTCCTGGATTCCGCAAATTTCTCGTATTTAATTAGCACGTGCAGCCCGAGTAGTAGTTGCACGTTACGCAATTCTCGAACGGATAAAAGTGTTATGCGAGTTAACGAACGAACGAGCTTAACTCGTTTGTTTGTTATGGAATATAATGTAAAGTGTTAATTTTCTCGATGGAGAGAGAACGATGTCTTACGCAATCTGAACTCGTTAACATTCTGTCGTCCATTAAACTTACCTTCTTCTCTATTTCAAACTTTAAAAGTACATTTGAAAATGAAAAATTTGCATCAAAAAGTATAATCTAATAGTATTTATAATCTAATAGTATAGGATCCTTGGATGTACGCATTCATATCGCAAATTGGAGAGAAAAATCACGGTACATAATGTCCATTATCAATTTGTTGTTAAATAATGATTTCAATTGTAAATTATTACTTATTATTAGTTACAAAACGTTTAGTATTTTTTACTTTAATTTAAGACAGTGTCTTTATTTCTTTCCTATTCATAAATTTAAAAGTAGAGTTTCATTAATTTTTCTTTAATATATAAAATTTGAATTTTTTTTGCAAAAAAGAACCTTTGTTTTCTTCAAACACATGTTGGAAAGAAAAATAATAGAATTCCATATTAAATATTATTGAAAATGATATTAAAACGAATTTTGTTGAATAAAAATAAAGTGAAGAACAAAGTTTTTAATCTATTTTTTTTATGATTTGTGTTTTCAAACATTAATTTATTACAGCTCTTTAATTTTCGAACATAATTGAGGAACATCAGCACTGTTCGAAAGTTTAAACATTGAAACGAGCAACTGTAATCTTGTTTGAAGTTCCAACGTCCACGTTGAAGAAAACTGACACGATGTCTATCGATCAGAATAATTTTGAATTACTCCGTGGACACGTCGCTGCCAGGAGTTCTGTTGGAATTAATCGTTAGAATTAATAAATGCTCTACATATTTTGGTTCTTTACATATTTTCTTTTGTAATATCATCTAGATTTAAGTTGCATCATATTATATCTCGCACCTTCACGATCCACATGTATACCGATTCGTACGAGATTATCATGTATTTTCTTTTTTTATCCACCATTGTATATCGTCACTGAGCGTCACATCCTTCCCGAAAATTTTATTTTTCGCTGCGTGTGACTCGTCATTACGCAAGTGTAGCAACCGCGTATATTATTAACAAAAAGCAGTCGTGTGTTACATTTAGTAAGAGGTGGACGTACAATTTTGTCTCGTTTCGAATGTTGCACTATTTTTGAAAAGCGTTGCCGGCTTCAACTGTGCCTAGTACGACTGGCCAAGTGAATCTCGTTAAGAGAACCAGAGCCAACTAAAAACGAAGAAGAAGAAGAAGATGAACAAAAAGCGATCCGTGCAAAGAAGTGTCGCCATTATTGCCTGCATCCATATTCCTAACCTTTCAACCTGTTCACCGTGAAAATCGAGGTGTCAACGACATACTTTGCCGTTACGCACTGCGCGGAATTAGCGGCGCAGCGTCAGCAATTTTCTGTACCGTACTTTTCTCACGGCGCGTGGTACGTTCCTCATTTTCGCTGTGTTCAGTGGCGTAAATTTATCGTTCGTGCAGCGCAGCGCAACGCGACGTCGAGCTTCGCGCTGGCGGGCACCGGTGGCATCCCGCGTAGCTCCGAAATTGTTTTGCACTTTGAAAAGCGTGCGATATCGCGTACGTCCAAGAGATCTGATGCGTTGCACCGAATTGCAAGCCGCTGCGTTGCACGTGCCAGAGCAAACACGCCATGCAAAGCCTGTGTATTTTTTGTGCAACGCAACTTTCAATGAGTTAGTGGCAAATATATCCATGTACGCGTTGTAGCAATCTGTCCGCATATTTCGGACGAAATATAGCATATTTTTAATTTAGCATCTTTACTCGCATCTGTTTTTTATTGTTAGATTAATCAATAATTTGCATTATTTCTGGCAAACTTCAAATCATAAGTCGCTCAAATGTTTTTTCCTCAAATTTCAATTTTGTATATATTTCAATTTTATAATGTCACATGAATGTATTGAAATTCATAATTTTAAAAGTTGAAGTAAATACTGAAAAAGAAGTGTTTAATTTTAAGATATTAAAATATTTTGTCCTGGTCTCAAGAATAAAGTATTTTAATATCTTAAAACACTTTAATATCTTAAACACTTCTTTTTCGAGCGAGTAGGAGAGGGAAATAAAAAGAAAGATAGAAAGAAATTGACTCATGTTATGAATTATATCATTATATATTACTGATTATTACAAATGGAAGAAATGAAAGCTTTAGCAGAAAGCTTTTTTATTGTTAAAAAATACAAAATAGTCTTTATGAGAAAAACTCGCTAAATTCAACGATGTCAGTGCTACGCCAAGCAAAATTTATTCTCAAGTTGGACTACGTGTACACGTTTCCATATACACATCGGTAGAGACATGAAAATCTTATTTTCTCAGTTGAGTTTCTCTGTGTTATTCACGTTGGTAGCCGACTTTTAGGTGCATGATAAACGAAGTTTTCTCCGTACGAACAAAGTTTCTCATTCCAAATACATTGTACGCGTATTTATGTAATAAAGATGGGTATATAGAGTCGTTAGTTGAAGACTGCAATATTAATCGGATGTTTCTCTTCCAGGAGGACTTGGAACCTCGCGAGGATGCGGGACCGGCTCTCGTGGTACATGGTCTTCTTGATTCTGCCGACAATCCTTTTGGCGAGGTCGCTCGATAAAGGTGAGCAAAGAATAAGAATCTTTTTTCTTCTTGAAATAAGAATTAATATTTTACAGACGATCCTCTTTGAACATATATATAATAATTGAAATTTATGCATGGAAAGAATGGTTTTGCTAAAATACCTAAAAATTTAGCTAGACTTGAAAAATAATTTTATTTGGAACATAAAAATAATTGTAGGACGCTTAAACTGGTTGCAAAAACGTTAAAATTTTTTTACAGCATTGTTACCAACGTTTAATTCTACATAATTATTTTGATAGTACAACAAAATTATTTTTAGATCTGGCTTTTATAAATACTTCAGCAAGACCGTTTTTTTTTTTCACTTTTTGTGCTAAAAATACGAAATTTGCTTATTTATTTATTACGCCTTGTTGTTTACAAGAGCTAGAAAGCAAATTACATTGACTTATCTTAATGCGTCCAATATATTTATCATTTCGTTCAAAATTGTACGAAGATAACAGTTGCATAAAATATTTTCCACATCATTAAGTTGCATTAAAATGAGGTTTGAACGTAAAATATATAATTATATTGAGTAAAATAGAATTGCAAGGTCGTTTTATCGTTGCTATTGTCAACGTCATTAATATCTTTGTTATGCAGGGAAGATGAGAAATGTCAATAATAATGAACACGTACACGTAAATTAAATGAGTTAGGATATATATTTCATCACGTGAATGGCATGATAAAACGTGGAGACATAGAGCTTAATAAATTCCTAGGGACGTTGTATTGTTGAAAAGTGCTAGGAGATAGATCCCTTTCTGTGTATTGAATGATGGGGCATTAAATAGCTCGACTGCGGTTCATAAAGGGAGCCTTTTAAATTTTGTGAAATTATAGAATGCCGCTTATATATCGGGTGAAGTGAATAAAGCTTTCACTTTCAATTGATGCGGAAGTCCGCGAGAATGCCTTTTCAACGTTCATGATGGAGACATCAATAATACTGCCTTACTGAATATAGCGTAATTACAGTAATTTATAAGAAATTTTTATGTTTATTTTTGAATGCTTTTTACGCTTTTATGTATCGAGGAAAATTGAAAAAAAATCAGTAAGAAGATATTTCCTCGCGCGAGCGCAGTGCTCTTAAAAGCTCGTAAAAGCTCCTTAACGTTAATCGCAGGTGAAATTTGAATGAGGCGCTCGAAAAGTTAACGCTTGAATTTACATTTCGCGGTACAAGTCGCATTAGGGCGTATTACATTCATAAAGTATTAATCGCATCTAAGAGAAGCAATATCGCGAGCAATCTTCTAATAATTACTTCCTTGCCAATTATGCCGAGGTAGAGTGCAAATGTATATTATTTTATATCGCGTTCCGATGCATTACTATATTTAAGATCGAAACGCTAATCTATTTTTTTTTCAACCTTTGATATCAAACATTTAGCGTGCATATAATTATTTTAATTTAACGTTTATTTACCGACATTACAGCGCAACGTGAATAAATGCATTTTTATTCACGTTACAATTAAAGCAAATTAAAATTCACGTTGTTAAAGAAGAAAGTAGAACAAAAAAAGAGATAACGGTATGTGAATATTTAATTTTTATTTACTCTCTTTGATAAATTGTGATGAAAATGATGTTAATTGTTCACATATCAAAAGATGTAAAAAAATTCTATTAATCTTTTCGGTAAAAACTTGTGATAAATGAGATTAATTATTCACATATCAGAGATGTAAAAAAAGTTATTAATCATTATATTTGGTAAAAACTTATTGCATTTTCTTAATTCTCTAACATTTCTCTATTAGTTTAAGCATAAGCGTTAATATAAATATTGTTTATATTTTGGTTATATTCAGACTGTGTACTTACTTGCAAAATTATATATCTAAATGCAATTTCCGAGAACTACATCATGCTATAAATATATAGAAAGACAGTTAGTTTATCCTCGAAAATATACATTTACAATAAGACGCACTGAGTAAATGGTGCTAGATAATTTTTTACGCATGATGAATGTGCCGACACTCAAAAGAAGGCCTGTAGAAAATAAGAGAGTCCACGTAAAGATGTGCCGGCATGCAAGTCCCGGATAATCCTGGAAAACACTTGTAGATAGAAGACGAAATAGAAAACCCGCAGCTAAAAATTTTATTCTCTCCCGTTTACTTCTCTAGGAAAAATAACTTGCCGTGCGGTGGTAGGCGGATATATGTATATTCGTCTTGAGAGAAATCCTTTTTAGCGCGCGAAACCGTCTTGCTGGTTTATCCGTTTGCGCATATGCCCGTATGCACATCAAACATCGAATTTCCAAGCGAAACGGAGAAGCAAAAATACGAAAATGAAAATGTCGTGCACAAAAAATTGAAGTCACAGGCCAGCGCTTGCTTGAAATGTTAAATATCCATAACTCAGCATACTTTAAATTTTTACAGAAACTAGGACACACTTTGGAGAAACTAACGTACAAAAATGATATTGAATCAATGATAGTTTTGTTATTTTTTAAAAATAAATCTAAAAATAATTTTGTTGGAATATCGAAATACTTATGCTCAAGTTGATTGCTGGAATGTCAAAACTTTTTGCAATATTGTTCATTTTGCTTGAGTTACCCATAATTATTTTGATAGTATGATAAAATAACATATAACGATATTATCATATATGAAAAGAATGATTTTACTGAAATACATTGTCAGAAATGTTTGTGAATTTACCCTTACAATAAAAATGTGCAGTAAATTTACAAATTATGTAACGTTTTGCTGTGCTTTACAATATTTGCAAATTTACAACAGAAATTTGCTATGAATTTACAAAACTGGCGTGCCACGCATGCGCATTAAGATTTGCGTATATTTCACCACAAAATGTTTGCAATTTCACAACATAGCTGTTTAAATTTACATTTTTGTTGGATACAAATTTCCAACATTTGAAAATTTACAACAAAAGTTTCTTATACATTATACAGTATCTAAAAATTTAGCTAAAAGCAGATTTGAAAATAATTTTATTGGACCATCAAAATAATTGTGTAGGTAGCTGAAAAAAAATGAGTGTTACTGCAAAAAGTTTTGATATTTTAGTAATCAACTTGAGTATCCCACACAATTATTTCAATGGTCTAATAAAATTATTTTCAGATCTGTATCTAACTTTATAGCTACTTCAGTAAACTGTAGTACTACTGTATTTTCCATGTACATATATCCGCAAACGGCACTTAGAATTTTGTTAGTCGATGAAACTTTTTACAGACAAAAAATGCGGGACAAAGGAGAGAAAACACAGATATGCACGCGTATCGAAGCGTTTAACAGACACCTGTTATACATAAACGTGACGAAAGTGCTTCTAATTAAAATTCTCGGCATTACTCGGCGAGTTTTCAAGTGCAACAAGAATCGCTCGTTTATTCCGAACTCACGCGTGCATGCTTGTACACACGTACGACCATCGTGCGAGTCATTAGCGGTGAGAGAATAGAGGAAGTCTGGAAGCGTACGAGAAAGCTCGACAGTGAAAATATGGAAATATGTGAAAGATACCATACGTGCGCAAAAATAGCGTGATGCATTTTCCAGTCTACCGCTCGTTAAATTACGGTGACTGAAGTGAGATTTTCATCAATGCGCCGCGTTAAAGCTATGTCAGAAAAAGAAAAGTGGATGCAGACTCACTTAATCAGCCGCTAGTGATGAGGGAAAGAAATACCGCCGGCATATGATAAAAAAAAAACATGTGCGAAACAGTAATACAGAATAAATATGGTCAAACGTGTAAAAAAAACGCTGTCTTTTGATTGGTTAACGAATGATAAAAACAAAGCAAGAGGAAACACGAAAGATTCGTAAAAATGATGAAGGGACATTTTCATAAAGAAAAGAAAATATACGTGGCTCTGAATATTTATATTAGATATAGTGATAGCCATGTCACATAGCCATAAAAACGACAGAAATAAATTTAGAAGGTACACCATTTCTGGTTCTTCTATCTCTTTCTTTATTCAGACACTGTGTGTACAAAAATTTTTATTAATGTATGTATATTGTCATGATATGCTCACAGACGGAGAAAAGAGAAAATAAAAATGCATGTATGGTATTTTTTAAAGATGTTTTAGAATGTCGCAATAGTTATTCATTTATAAACATTTTTTTGCAAAGAAGAAAAAGAAAAAGTAGAAAGAATAAAGGAAAACTAATCTCATAACCGTAGATAATAAATTATATTAATCATTGTGTATTTTGTGCCAAATTATTGTTTTTTATCCATGCAGGCAAAAATACATCAAGTTCATGAATATATGAGAAAGAACAGAACGTGCTTTTAAACGCAACACGAAAACATTGTGTTGTTCAAGTAACACATGAATGCAGATAGTATCGTTGTACTGCTAGACCAGAATTGTTAGTCAGAGAGAACCAGGAAAACTGGGAAAAATTATGGAATTAAGAAATTTATTAATCTTAAGATAAAATTAAATTGCTGTAATACTAATTCTAAATTTAAACTTCATTTCTTGAAAATATTAAACAAAATGTTTTTAATTAAAGGAAGCATTGTAAATATTTTTTATGATTTTTTAATTTTGTAGTGAATGATTAGAAAGCTATTAACATAAAATTAAAAAGAAAAATTATAATATCTTTATTTTGCAGAATCGAGATACATGTTAATGACATTTCATAAATTACTCGCAGTAGCAATATTATACAAAATATTTACATTTTTTTTTAGTAATCGTGCATTTTTTAAATGCGGAAAGATTTATTACGAGAGATGCTTTCAAAATTATGTAGTTTTAAGATAAAAATTTCTAATTAAGTTGATAATTAGAATATAGTGTTTTGAGAAGGTTAAATCTTAATAAGCAATTAATGTATACACACACAAAAGAAAGATTTAATGAAATAAATTAAAGATGGAGAAACTCAAAATTATATTTGACAAGAATTCAAAAAGTCGCAGAAATATAGACGAAAAGATAAATATTCTTCTTTCAAA